ATAAAAAACTAGTTTCGTCATTTCAGTTTCGTCAATTTTGTCATATTAAGAAAGGTAATTTCGTCAGGTATCACTAGAAAACATCATTTTATTTATTAAAGATAAAATTAATAATTATATTTACTTATTAAAAGCATCTTTTCAAATGTCTGAAGTTTATTATTTAATTTATACCACATGAATATATAGCTGTTTTAAGTTCATTTTTATATTGTTAAGTAGTAATTATCATTTTGCCTTTATATAAAACTTCTAATATTAAAAAATATACTGATAATATTTAAGATTTAAAAAATAAAATTTTGCTTTTTTATTATTATAGTTATTATAAAAAAATTTTCTGAAAACATTTTAAATAAAATTATAATATTAAAATAAATTTTAAAATAGCAATAAATTATTTATACTTTTCTTATTATATGTAATGCAGTTTTTGCAATATAGTAAACATAATTACTATAGCATATATCATAAAATAAATTTTAGTTTTAATATTATGTTATGTGATTTTTTTTTAAATCTAGATGTAGATTATCATATTATTATCATTTATTTTAATAATATCATGAGATTTTTTTTTATTATGAGATTTTGTTGAGATTTTTATTTATTTTTAATATATATATACATGTATTATTTAAGTTTTATTTTTCTTAATTTTTCATGAATTTATTCACAAAATTTTTTTATTTCATAATAGAAGCAATTTTATTTACCATATAACAAATGTTATTTTTGTGATAATAATTATCTTTTACAACATTTTAAATAATAAATATAAAAAATTGAAGATATGACTTATATAAAATATTGTTGAATTTAAACAAATCACTATTAAATAAATGAATAGTAATTAATTCGAGGAATTTGCTTAAGAATCTCTCTTTTACATATTATCATCATATTTTTATTATCTGTTATAAGTATAAGAACTTTGTTTAAAATTATAAATTTTTTCAGAACATTTGTAATTAATTGTGCAATATTAATTTCAAAGTGGTTTATAGAGAAGAGAATAATATCAAGGAGAAAATTGCAAAGATACCAATCAGAATCTACGTAATAAATTATAAGTCCTAAAAAAGTCTCTTGATTTATTGAAGTCTACATATCAGCAGTTAAATAGCATTATCTCGGAATTTGATAAAGATCATTAATAATTTTAATTTGTAAAAGCCTTAACTATGATGCAAATCATCTATAACCGTCAAAATTTTTGATGAATTTCTTAAATTTTATAACTTTTTTAATATTAGAATAATAATATAATATTATTTTTATAATAAATTAACTATTTATCTTCTATATTTATAGCTTAAATTTTTATTTTTATTAATAATATTTTGAATTATAATACTTCAAAAATTGCTATTTTTACTAATAAAGTTAAAATTTCAGACTAGTTTCTCATGAATTTCTGCTATAATCATGTTAATTCTAAATTTACCCAGAAGAGGGTTGCATTACGATCATATATAAACTTGAAAATAACAATATGTCAGTACTATATTGTTTCATTTTTCCTCAGAAAATTATTTTATTTTCAGTTGGTTATCAACTTATTTTACATAAATTTTCTGGAAGAACCCTGCATCATGGTTTCTTGTAAAACTTTTTTTTTCCTCACTAAAACCTATTCTTCTGTTGAATTCCAAAAAAATAAGGCACATTCCATTAAATTCCAGAAACAATACATTAAAATGAGATCATATAGTTTTTTATTTTTATGTTTTAGATTTTGTTTGATTGTAATATTACAATGCCACCCAACCCTAAGTAAAGCAAAATGTGCTGCAAAGCAATGTAAACGTAATAAAAATAGAAATTTTATCTTAAAAGCCAATAAAGAAATACCTGAAGAAATGCCAAATGAACTTGAAGGTAGTGGTGATAATAGTGAAGAAGGAATGCTAAATGAACTTGAAAGTAGTGATGAAAATAATTCTGAAGGTGGTGGTGAAGAAGAAATATTAAATATATTTGATGATAATGAAGGAAATTTGTGGGATGATGAAGAAGATAGTGGCTGAGAATCAGAAAGTAATATTGAGATAGAAGAGGGGATTAAAAATCGATTGTTAGAAATAGGTTTAAGTTGTAAAGAAAATACGCATTTAGAAAAAAAATTTGTGGTACTTACCTAACTAAAAAAATCCTGAAATCAACCTATTATAATAAGTATGATCTAAGTGATATATGGACTAAGATGTCTAAAGATGTCAGCCGAAACTCCCTCAAAATAATTTCATCATATCCCTTATTATGTTTTTAATATAATTTCAGCTAATTTCAGGTTTTAGGGTTTCGTTGTACCGCTCACTATATTTTAATATAATTTCAGCTATTTATTAATTGCTTTTTTTAAGTTTTATCTTTCATCTTTAAAGGTATCTAAAGGAACATCAAAAATTACCCAATTTTTTAACTCATCTATAATTCTAGCATCAGAAATATTAACAGAAGATGTTAGTCAACAATTGAAAAATTTAAAAACAGAATTTGAATTAAAATACAGACAAATACCAGCTATTAAATATAATAGAAAATGCACAGTTTATGAATATTTAATGAAAACTGAAATAAATAACGTTAAGAAAATAGTAGTAAGTGAGAAGATAGCAAAAATAATGTATTTTACTTATAGTCCTTATAAACTTCGAAAAATTAGAAAGGATGCCAAATACTGGTTAAAATATAACAAATTTTTAATTTCTTTACAAGTTCAGCATTAAAAATAATACAATTAATAGATGATGAAGATGTTGCGGAAAAATGTTATCAATGGATTAGAAGTCAAAATAGCAATTAGGGTTTCTCAAAATCGAATCAAATCAAATATTTAAGCAATTTAAATTTGATTTGATTTTTTCAAATTGAATTGAATTGAATTGAATTGAACTCAAATATTTGATCGAATCAAATATTTGTCAAATCAAATCAAATCAAATCAAATCAAATATTTGATCAAATTGAATCAAATTGAATCAAATATAATTTTTTTTTTTAATTTTTACAATGATATATTAAAATAAAGTTATTCAAAAGTTTTAATTAATAAAATTATTAATAATTGCATTAAAAAATTTCAAAGATAGCTTTTACAAAGTAAGTTTAGTAATAGGTAAATTTTTACTATTAAACTTAGTAAAATAACTCCACAGTTTCAGTTTTACTAAGAAAACTTAGTAATAACTGCCATTACAGTTTCAATTTACTAAGAAAACTTAGTAATAATCACCATTGCAGTTTCAGTTTACTAAGAAAACTTAGTAATAACCGCTATCGCAGCTTAAGAAAACTTAGTACTGTATAGCGCTGCCTATAAGATCTG